AAAAAAAAACAATATGAAACACAAGTTTTAGCCTATTCCAGCATAACGTTCCAATATTTGTGACTTTAATGTCAAATTTATATAGCAATTGCTTACTTACTTCACATTCTTGATATAATACCAGAAGGCAAAGAAACCTTTGAAGGAAAAATATTGTAAATGCCTTGTTTTAAGGGTTCATTTAGTTGAAACAACAGCGAACTGCTAGAGAGGACTAGTCTGAAAGAAAGGTGACTAATAAACATGCTTTTGGTTTTTTATTTTTTCCATAAAATAAATTGTTTCGTGTTTTAAAAGACAGTGTTATAAAGATAGCTGGTAACAAAAGACATTTATGATTTCTTAAAATAGAAAGAGATGGAACAAAAGATTTAATAAGAACAACATAGCTTACCTGACAGAAGAAATTATCTGACTCAGCTTGATAAATACTGCTTGAACTTTCGCAAGTAACAATGGCTTTTTTTTTCTTTTATTTGAGACAGCTCTCACTATGTCGCCCTGGGTAGAGTGTCATGTTGTCACAGCTCAAAGCAACCTCAAACTCTTGGGTTTAAGCAATTCTCTTGCCTCAGTCTCCCAAGTAGCTGGGACTACAGGCGCCCACCACAACGCCTCGTTGTATTCTGGCTGGAGTTGTCATTGTTGTTTGGCAGGCCTGGGCTGGATTCAAACCCATCAGCTCTGGTGTACGTGGCTGGTGCCCTAGCCACTGAACTACAGGCCCTGAGCCAGACAATGGATTTTGAATGTGAATAAACTTAGGGAAAAGTGAATATATGACAGGTATAAGATAAATGGATTTAAAATAAAGAGCAAAACAGACCCTGACTATAGTAGATGCAAACAAACAACCAAAGCAACAGCTTTGAAAATCTGGCACAGCCATTGCTTATAATAACTAAGGAAAAATCCATCAACCAATAACAAATAGTGACAAAAAGATGTTCCAAAAACTAGTGTGATAAGTAAGTCTATTTCTAATGAGGAGAAAGTGAAATTTTTAATGAAACAGTGCTGGCTCAATAAATAAATGAAATCCTGATAAAAGTATAATTTTCTTAAATAGTTAAATAATACAAAATTTACATTAAAATCTCTCTTAACTGCTAGCCAAAGATAAGTGAAATTAGAAGAGACTAGTCTCATTCATGCTGAATTCACAGAGGTTTCTGATAACCTTCAGAGTCAGTTATAGTAGAACTTAGAGCTTTTTGATGCTAATTACTATTCTCAATCACCAGAGCAACCACATCTCTGAGGTTGCTTCTGCCTTTCAGTGATATTATATTTTTACAAGTTAAAAAAACTATACTATCTTTCTTTGAAGTTCAATATTAATAATCATAGTGATATTTAAGATCATCTTATATTACCTTCGGGTAAATATAGTACTTTACATATACCCACCAATGAATAAGAAAATCAAAAATTAATTCAGATAAAACTTTCAAATTCACTGCCGTTCCTCCCTTCTGTTGCTAGAACGCAAGGCAAGAAAGCTGTGAATAACTGTTCGCCTACACGATGGCTTTCCTTTGCTCTTCTCTTTGCAGGATGAGTTAAAAAGCAAGTCTCCCCGACACAGTTAGAAACTCTTGTATCAAACAGTATGGATGCAAAGAATGAAGAGTAGCTCTCCCTTCTACATGGCGCTATATCCTTAGCGTGCTTTGCCTGGGAGTGCCAGGAATCAAGGATCCTATTTGGAAAATGTAAGGAAAAGTCAAACCTTTCAGGACACCTCCAGATTTGAAATGTGAAAAAAACCACACAAAATCTCTGTCTTAATTTTCATTACTCAAGAGTCTAGGGGCTGGAACTTGAGGGAAGAGACTATTAAAAACCTTATATCTTTCATATATGAAAAGTAGACTATGATATCTGAGGATGTATGGAAATTACCTTTTTTACAGTTTTATCTGGTTCAAGAGCAATATCTGGAATGTTTGCATCAACCATCAAGGAAAACAAATTCAAGATCAGATTAGAATACCTAAAGAGGTATAGGAAAGAAAAAAAGAGCAATGAGTTAGCATTTTGTATTTCTTGCTTATGTTAAGTTTCTAGAAGTAGTGATACCTGGATTTATAGAGTGATTGTTCTTACTTCAATGGGAAACAGAATGTGAGATTATTCATCAGCTGTCTCAATGAAAAACAAATCTTGAAAACATCTTACTCTAGGGTTCTTCATATTAACTCTACTTCTAGGTCTCATAGAACAGACTTTTGAAGTAGTCACCTAATCCTGACATTCTTTTCATCTTTTGGACGATAGTATATTTATCATTTTGGTAGAGGTCTGAGGGGAATCCACTTTATATTTAATTTGTATTTTAACAATCTACTGTCTCAAGACTACCTTAGTGTGTCATGGCTAAATAAATGAAAGGGTAATAATGTCATCCCATGAATCACTTATGAATATCTTCCTGATATCCCAATCCTGACTTCAAGAACTACTGTGACTGACCTGGATAAAAGTAATTCTAAATGAAGAAGAAAATAGCTAGTACTCTACTACATTAAAAAAGGGCAAGATATTGAAATTATAATATTTTTGGAGTGTGCTGGTCCCTAACAAGAACTAATAGTTTATCTTCAACCCTAAACTTTTCCTCTTCCCCAAAACAAGGAAAATGAATGTGTTTACTATTCTTAAAGGTGGAGTCTTGCGGGAAAAGAATTAAATACATGTACACTAGGTACATTCCACCTCTTGTTCCGGAACACTTCCCAGCTTAGGTAGTTATTCTCCGGTGAATAACATTCATCTTCTTAGCATGAAACTAAGAAACAACCCTCTCTATTCAACCTTCTTAGCATGAAAGAAATAAATTCAGGTTAGACTTTGAGGATGGATGTGAATAAAGGAATTCTAGCCATCTACCTAGCTATAATAAAAAAGCACAAACTGTTATTTAAAAACTATTTAATACTTGAACTGTAATGATAATCCATATTTTTCAAATTACCTATTTTACCATCATTTCTGAATTTTATGTTGCCCATAAAAAAGCAGAAGAACTATAATGAAAATTTCTACCTTGATGTAGTCTTACAATCAAATCAAGCCCTAACCCACTTATACTCTTAGGAAAAAAAAAAAGTTACTGATTTCCTTGTGGAAATTGACAAAAGTATACTTAGGTTTTATTTGATTTCTACTCACATAGTGCTCATATAGTAATTTCAGTCATTCAGCCTACAAATATCTACTTGAGTACTCACTGTATAAATACACTGCTCTGGGCACTAAGAATACAGCAGTACACTGAACAAACAAGGTCTCTACGTTCATGAGGTCTGATCATGGAGGAGAGTGGAAACTCACATAATAAACTGAAAAACATGGTAATTTTATGTCTGATTAATTGATTAAAAGATTTAAAAAGGAAAAAACAAGGAAATGGGTCAGAGATTGAAGAGTAGGAATAGAAAGAGCCATCATAAAGAGGTATAACTTTTTCTAAATGCAGGAAGAAGCAAATGAGTTTAAAGAGCAGAATGACACACCTTGCAGGCATAAAAGCTCACTCTGTTGTCTTGTGGAGAATAAGAATAGAGGTGGGGTAACCATATCACAGACTTTCAGACTGAAAAGAAATAACATGGAGACTACTGGTCTATATTTTGGAGATGAAGCATATCTCGTATGTGCTGATAGTTTCCATGGAAGTGTGTGAGGGGGAGGACAAAGGAACTGAACAGCCTAAGTCTCAATGGACACAAGTGTTACTCATCAGAATAGGAAAGGCTGAATGGAGGGGAAACGGGATTTTAGGCAGGTAATCAAGAATTCCATTTTGGACATGTAGAGTTGGAAGTGCCTACTAGATTCTTAGTAGACCTCTGTGATGCATCTCAGAGGACGTATCAGGGCTGGTGGTATGAGCTTGCAGCCATCAGCATTTGGCTTCTATGTAATGTCATAGGACTAAGGCGAGAAGGGAAAGATCCAAAACTAAACCCATAATCATGATAACGAAACCTCTAGACAGTTCGTGATGCAGAAGTGAGGAAAGGGAAGAAATCAACAAAGCAGCAGCAGTGGCCAGTGGGGAAAAAAGCTGGGGTGTGGATTACATGAAATCTAAGAAAAGTCTTCAGAGACAAGGGAGTCTTTAACTATGTCAAAAGCGACTGGGAAGCAAAAGTGGCCACTGGATTTGGTATAGCTAACTGTTTATCCTGATAAAATTAGTTTCAGTAGCAGAGTAGGAATGAAAGCTTTGCTGGAGAAGGCTGCTGAAGAAAAAGAGGCAAGTAGGTGGAGACTGAGAAGGAAGATCTGCTGCGAGACATTCAGCAACATCCCTGGTCTCTCCACTAGGTGCCAGCAGCGCTCACCCAGCTGTGACCATCAAAAATGTTTCCTGTCATTGCCAAATGTTTCCTGGTGGGGGCGGGGGAGAGAAAAGGAAGTGCAATATAGGCCTGAGCTGAGAACCACTGATTTAAAAGCAGTGGTTTTTAAAAGCAGAGAACACGGTAATTGTTGGACTGCCTTTAGTAACATACAGCTGTTGCCCTGTAAAAAATGAAGCAGGAAGGCAAGACAGTTCTAATCAGACTTGGGGCTTCAGCAGGTGAAGCTGAAGGACTTGATAAAAACGCTTAAGAGAGAGTTGAGAGGTAAAGGCAGTAAGAATGGTACAGTTTGGAGCCATAAAATTCAGTGGAGAAAGGAATAAAGTGAGAATATGAGTCTGATTATGTAAGGTGGAAGGAACCATCAATGAGGTGAAAGACTTGTTGGAAGAGAGAACATCGAAAAATGAGCTGTAAGAATACAAAGTGCTGACAAGAGAGAGAAAACTTAGGATTGAAATTCTGAAGGGATAAATTTTGCTATTATTGGTTAGAGAGAGCAGAAAAGCTAGCTCTGAATGAGGAGGACAAAGCCCTATAAGGTCAAAGACATGGTTGGACCTTCCACGTAGATGGCAAAGCCACAGGAGCAGTCACAATGAAAGTTTTCAGTGAGTATGATGGGGAAGTAGGTAGATAATGGTTACCAGTGGGTAGCAGACGTGACTGTGCGCTCTTCAACAGAGTTGTGTGTGCTTGTGCTTTTCTTCTTTAAGGAGAGAGGTAAAGAAATGGTTCAGGTGGCAGCAGGGAGCAAGAAGTGCACCAACCCTTCTTTATGGAAATAAAGATAATCCACCTGAGACGGCTATAAGGTACATGTGTCAACAGTGTATGGCCAGCTATTGTGTACTATCTTATGCAAAAAAAAGATGCTCTTTCAAATAATCCTACATTATTCATACTTTGCATACTTTGTTGATTATATAGGTACATACTTTCTTCTCATTTTCCACAGAATCTTTAGGAATCTACTACAGGGTAAAAGGGAGGATATAAAATTCAATTCTGACAAAGATGTGTTAAAAGTTCTCAGACCTGACTACCTGTTAGATTCACCTGGGAAGTTTCTTAAATCTGTCAATGCCTTGGTCTAATTCCAGACCAATTAAATAGGATGGGGCCCAGAACTGGCCCTAAACCCACAGGCTACTGGTCTGTGGCTTGTTAGTCACAACCTCACTGGCTGAGCTCCCCCATCCTATCTCATCACCCCCTTCCCTGGTCCAAGAAAACATTATCTTCCATAAAACCAGTTCCTAGTGCCAAAAAGGTTCTAGAAAGTGACTTGTTAGGAATCAGGCTGCACAGGGAAGACAAGTGGTGGGCAAGTGGAGTGGTTTCATTTGTATTTACAGCCACTCCCCATAGCTGGCATCCCTGCCTGAGCTCTGCCTCCTGTCTCTCTCCACCCCAACCTCGTCTGTAGGAAAACTGTCTTCTATGAAACTGATCCCTCCCTGGTGCCAAAATGGTTGGGGACCACTGCCCTAATGGACAACTAGGATCTATGTTAAAACATCTATGTTTATGGAAGCAGAATGCAGCATTTCTTTTTTAAAAGGGAAGTTTTAATGCTTTCTGGATTACCTCCTGGTTTAAATTAACCACTCATTCTTCTATTGTTATAGCAAAGGGGAAAAAATTAAATAAATATAAAATGAAATATTTTATAAGGAGCTTAAATGCCAATATACTTTGGCATTTGTAATGGTAATCTGTTACCATCTTAACCATATCAACCTTCTACATCTGTTGTCATTAATTGAAACTAAATAGAAAGTATTTATTAAAGGGTAGTCATTTAATATCTTACTCAGAAACACAAATGTAAAGGTGTTCTGTAAAGACATGTAAAGACATCTCTGTAACCAGTATTAAAAGATAATGTGAGGTTAAGGTTAAAATAATAAGGTGGGAAAGTGTGCAAAATTGAGCCCAAGCTAAGACTGTGAGAAGGGATGTTATATAATTTGGGTTTTTAAAAAGCAGTAGTTAAACATAGTGTTCAAGGAAAGTATACTCTTTCTCTTCACTCATGTTTAGCCAACCATTAAGCCACATACGCATATGGTATAATTTTTCAGCAAAAATCTTCAATACTGCAAATAGAAATGCATTTAACTCTATGAGGTAAGTTGTTGCGGTATTTCAGAGGCCTCTTTCTTCTACATTCTATCTAGTTTGCATGCAACCAATACCCAGTTGAATCCTGTAAGAATATTTATTTAGTAAGTATATTACTTCAAAGAGGGGAAGCAATGTAATCAATGACGTGTGTAACCAACCAATTCACTGATGTGTGGTGACTAGGCAAACATTCTCTCAGACAATATAAAAGAACCGCATGTGACATAGTAAAATGAATTCTCAATTTCTTATCAGTGTTTAGTATGGTGTTTGGCATAAACATCAGTAAGGAGAAAGTTATGTTTTTCTTAAACATTTAATATTAAAATGTTTTGGTACTATTGCCATGAGGGTTCAAAAATAAATTTACCAATTAATTACTGGTGTGATATCTACTGCTCAATAGGAAATGACAACATACTCTGTAACATGAAAGTCATCACATCATTAAATATGTTTTCACAACTGTACACCTGTAACCACAACTTAGTTCAAAAGGGACTACTCTGTTTATGTGGTATAATATCATTCAGGGGTTTCTTGTTGAAGAAATTAAGCAAAAAAAACTATAAAAGAATAGTTTGATCATATCTATAAAGCCCTAATAATAATAAAAGTGTTAATAGCTCCAAACAAGCTTTCAATTATCAGGTTAGTTTTCTTGCCCTAAAGACAATTTTTTTTTCAAACCAACTGAATCATACTCTAAAATACAACATTAAAAAATAAATATTGGTCAAAATATCAGAGTCCAGCTATCTTAAGTGAAATTTTTTTTTAAATGAAAATGACTTTCATTACAACTCAGCCTAAGATCATATAGATTAATGTCTTTGTGATTTTTCTTTGTAGTGAGAGAAAGTTAACTTTGGCTCTCCATTAATAGCCTGTCTGTTTTCTCATTCTACTAAATTGCTACTAATCTATTACCAAGGACAGTTTGTAAAGCACATTGTTTTCTTTCTGCTTTTAGTAAGATAGAGCACCTATGACATTTCTTTACTAACATTCCTGACCGTCTTGTCTGCCACCTCACTGCGATTGCCATCTAGTTCAATCTAGTTTTCTATAGGGTTTGACTATTTTAAGTTAAAAATCCAAGATATGAAAATGGAACTCTTATCATTTCTCTGAAAGTCCTTTTGATCACCAAGGAAATCAAAAGAGCATTCATTATTCTTCTGGCATTTCTGGGGGGGTAAAACTAAACCATTCTGCAACCCAGTGGAAAAAAATGTGACCATTTGTAAGATGTATTGATAGAGTTTGTGATAGGTGGAAAAGTTGAGTTTACCATGAAGACTTAGTCTTTGGAAAAGACGAAACCTGATTAACACTGGAAAGCCATTTTTCTGGAACCAGCAGCATTAACATCACCTGGGAACATGGCCCTACCCCAGACATGAAGCAGAAAATTTGAGGATTCTCTCACAGTGAAAGCTGTCATCCACTATACATTGAGTGTCTATGTTCTAAGAACCATAGGAGTAGTCACTGAGGTTACGAGGGAGACAGTGTCCACATGCACAGGCAACTCTCTGTTGGTTAAATTTTCACCTGGAAGAGCAAATAAATATGTCTCCTGGGCTGGGATTATCTGCTGGACTAAGAAAATTCATTTTGCATAATAAGGTTAAAAATAACATCAGACTCAAATCACCCTGTCATGTTTGACTGTCAGAGTCCTGTACTGAATTTAACAAACGTGACTTTTTTTTTTCCTGATAATGTATGATATTCAGTCGTAAGTAACTCAGGATGAAGGAAGCAGAAATTTAGTGGCACTGAAGAAAAAAAGAAGAAATAGAGGAAAAAACATTGTTTGCAGCAAGAATGATTGATGATGTGTTAAAAAGACACAAAAATCATTTGTAATATTTACTGCAATCATTGAACAAACTTCTACATACTTGTATTCTTGAAATGTACCCCAAACTGAGGCTGATAAAGGCGCTAAAGCAGTGGTTCTCAACCTTCCTAATTCTGCAGCCCTTTAATACAGTGCCTGTGGGTCGTGACCCACAGGTTGAGAACCACTGTGCTAAAGAATAAAAATGAATGAACTAAAATCCTAAGTAATCAAGTCCTTCATCTTTGATAAAGAAATGGGAGTCAGCTAGAGAGGATGAAAACCCAGGATGGGGATCGGAATTCTCCAGGGCTGTCTGTCTGTCTCAGCTAGATCTGAACTGGCACTAAGTTTCCTAACCTTCTTCTATCCTACTACTATCAAAGCACAGCTTATTAAATGACGTCATCCCACTGTCTTGGAAGCCTCTGTGTCTTCCTAATCTTGCGTAACGTCAGATTCCTACTTGGTGGGATCTAGCAATGAGATTGTTACTGAGAAAGCAAGACATTTTGTGTTTCTTTTTTTTAATATCAGACTCCCTATCAAAATAGAGAGATCAAAGCTATATTAGGAAACATCATTGCTTATGTCATTTTGAAATAGATTATTGCTAAAGAATGCATACAATGAACAACTCCTCCTTTTGCTCTATAAAATAAATTTACCAAAATTCTCTCTATTAAGCAAATCAACTCACCGTCGAAGGTGGAGGAAAGCCGTGTAACACTGCTTACGGAACTCTTGGTACTGCTCACTCTGTGTGCCCCCCATTCCTTCTACCATTTCCTTATTCAGCTTCATTGGAGGAGGAAGAGGCTTCGGATCCCGACCCAAAATATATCCAAAGTCTATGTGGAAAAGTTTGCCTGGATGTTGAGAAGAAATTCATTTGTTTCCAGAATTATCTTAAAGCACTGCATAGGAGATATGTCATACAACTTATAAGCTATGACTTTTCATAAAGAATATTAGTTCATGATAAGCCTATTAAATTGTTTGATTTTCTAACTTCAAGTTGGAGAGGGACCTTCAAAGCATATTTTAGCTCATTTGAACTCATATTCACTCAAATGAAACTATGCCTAAAAGCATTCCATAGTAGTATTAATTTAAAAATTTAAATCCATTTTTAGGTGTCAAGAACCAAAGACTGCCAAAGCCTAGATTAACTTTTTCAGCAGAACTTAAAATCCTGTAGCAAATTTCTTGTGTTATAGTCAGAAGAGAAAAATAATTTTTGTTTGATAGGACTAATACAAAACTAAATCAAGCCATTCATTATCTAATGACTAGGTCAATTAAAGCTGCTTAAAAATATTTATCTTAAGGATTTCAAACACCACTTAAAATTAAAATTCTGATTTTGTTAAAAAATAGATACAAGTAATAACGCTACCTACCATACTAAATACCAAACTACAGTACTATCATTTTAGAGATGTTTGAACATATTGAATAAATATTTATATGTCTACTACATGTGAGATCACAACTGTGAGAGATTAGTAAAATTAAATACTAAAAGGATAAACAACCCTACTTTTTATAACTCTTTTGTATATCCTCACAAGGAAAACCAAAACAATAAAGTTAGAAATTTTACATAACTTTGAAAATGAGAAATAATTTCAAATCTGCCAACGTCAGATAATAAAAATAATTTTCAATATTAGGCAACCATAATATTCAATTTATATAAAATTTAAGCTAGAGAGTGGCTCTATTTTCATACAACAGTAAGAAAAACTGCATCACAAGTTATCTTGTCAGACATTGTATAATACAGGAACAAATAGGAACAAATTTGGACATGGGCCGCCTGCACATACAAAGAGCAATATCAGCCTGTGTATGAATGATCATAAAAACAACTACCCAAATGTTGAAGCAATATTATCATCTGGTTATAGAGTAAGTAGTTACTGTCAATACAAGTATTAAATGGAAAACCAATTTCCATTTCTCTACATCATCTCTTAATTTTTATTTATTTTATGACTTAGACCAGGTTCAACACATTCTGTTCATATTGACAGACTGGTCAAAGTTTAATGAGAATTTTTTTTTTTTTAAGAAATAGATATATCTAGTCTAGTAAATGACATATAAGGGGGTGAGATGACAAAGAATTATAATTAGATATAAACAGCAAAAAGACCCATATGGAATGAAAAACTGACTTTGTCCCCCCATCCCCCCAAAAGGTAATAACAGCATGGCTAAATGGTTCATCTAGCTCGCAGAAAAGCTATCTAAATCAGGAGACATTCGGTAAGCAGTTATTAATAAGGCTCCTACTCCAACTATACCTATTAATACCCCTTAGCTAAGTATATATTGAAATTATTTGTTCACTTATCTCTCTCTTAACAGAAGTTTAAGTTAATGAGCTTTCCATTAAACTCATAATGAACCAGTGAGAGCATTATTGTAATCAAGAAACTTTTTTTTACCATTTAAGATAGTCCTGAAATCTAGGACAATTGCCTAGCTCTGGAATAAACTATTTATTTTGCCTTTTTTAAATCAACAGACAACTTAATTAGCTCAGACAACTTTTAATAACACCGCTGATGTCTGAATTTTCCTTTAGACGTTTGATAGTTCTTATGAGAATTTGCTTTGTTTCTAAAATTTTGTATTTTTATTTCCACGATGATCTATAATAATATAGGCTGAGTCTAGATCATGTGGATGCCACCTTATCACTTAGTTATCACTACTGCTCTGTGAGTTCTCGGTTTTTGATTAGTTGGTATCACACAGCAATGCTATTTTAAATTGATGTAGAGAGGGCAGCGCCTGTGGCTCAAAGGAGTAGGGCACTGGCCCCATATACCGGAGGTGGTGGGTTCAAACCCGGCCCTAGCCATAAACTGAAAAAAAAAAAAAATTAATGTAGGGTAATAGTAACAGAACTTTGAAATTATATGACAGCATTCTAAGTACACAGAGGTTTTAAAATAGTTCAAATGGAGAAAAGCATTATAAGAATCTTCACAATGCCTATATTACAAAAGTACTCCAAACTTACACTACATTGTTCATACCATATTCATACTGTAAGTGGCAATTTAGTTTCAATAGTATATCACCTATGACATTAGTGATGTAAAATATTAATGGTTGGTAAAATTGGTTTAATTTATAAATTTCTGTTTATTTTATGCTATGTAATAGGAGTAGACATGAAGTTAGTATCAAGTTTCATGTTGTAAATATTTAAGATTTTAAAATATGATAACATGAGAGGGTTCATTTCCATTCAAAACAATCCCTATGAATCACTCATAGCTGAGAGATACCTTTTCAGAATACCAAAATGGATTCTTTAAGCTCAATGAAATTGATTTTTTGGGAGATTCATACCCTTTTGACAGATTCCCAAGGGAAGTTCTTGATGTAAGAAATATAAGAAACAAGTTTTAGAATAAGGAATTTGATTCTAAGAGCAGAATGTGAACGTTTTAAAATAATAACTAAGAAAATGACACAAAGGCTATGTTAACCAGTTTGATGGAAGTGTTTCGGATTGTGTGTGAAAACCCCACACTGTACCCCAGAAGTGCATTAATGTACATAGTTACCATTCAATAAAAATAAATAAATAAATAAAAAAGAATAAGGAATTTGATAACTTCAGTACTCACTAGAATACCATTTTCTCCTAATCTCCTAAGGTTCAGGGAGTATATGCTATCAATATAATTTTCTATGCTCTGGCAAAAAGCCCATGAAAAACTTCAGCTAAGGATTTTACTGTCTTCAATTGAATATCCTCTGTTCAACTAAGCTAAGCGCTTTAGTGCTTTATTTTTATTCTGAAATTCCTATTTATTTTCTACCTTGTTGGATACAATACCCTGCAAGAGGTAAAGAGATGAGAGGCTCACTATATTATAGGTATAATCTTTCTTCAGTTTCATTTAATTACTTAAATAATGTTTTGTTATCGACAACATTCCTAATGATACTGTGCACTTGAAAAGATGATCAATCTGATCAATCTTTGATATAAAACTGCCATCCCACATGGTTTATTCAACAGTCCCAATTTTCGTCTCATTACAAGCATTACCAGAATTCCAATGTGGCCTATGCATCACTGCTTGCAAATGAAGGGTATATTCTATCCTTGTGAGAAAACTCTTAAAGAATAGGATTACTACTTAATTATCAGGCATAAATGATTTAGTATCTAACAGTGAAACCATTATTATGCTTTGCAAGTTCAAAAAGCCATGTATTTTGAAGAGGCTATTAATGTTTTAAGAAAATTCATCTTCATACATACCAAAAAGCAAAGGAAATGGTTTTTTAAAAGTTAATATCTGTAAATGCAACTTGTAAGGATTTTAAAAATGCATTTCATGAAATAAAAAACTGTTTAATTAAGAAGTTCAGGGAGTGTGATCGTATTCAAATCTATCACCTTAAACTGTCAGGAGATAAAGTACACATAAAATAAACTGGCTGTTGACTATAATTACCTCCTTTTGTCCCTGACTTGCCATACAAAGAGAGTAAGAGGTGCTAATTAAATTTTCCTAGTATTTACATAAGTGACATGAATTTATTTCTAAAAGTGTAGTTCAAGGCATTTGTAGTTCTTGGATTAAAGAATACAGAGACGGATATTAATAGTATTTAATAGCTGTTTTATAATTTCTATTTGTGTATGTAACAAATGTGACAATCTTGAAATTGTATTCATTCCATTTTCATACCTCGGCTTACTCTCCTTCTATTTGATTCTCTTCTGCTGTTGCCCATATACCAAAAAATATATTTTTTAAGATTCCATACAATCTCCAACTCTAAAATTTCCTCCCTGACATTCTACTTCACAGTGAGCTTCCCACTCTCTTCAACTTGTGGTTATACAACATGGCTTTTACCATATTTGCACAAAATGTCTTTTTTGTTGTATGTTGTATTTTTCCTGTTGCTCTACCATGAAACCTAGAAACAAAAGAAAGTGACAAACAACTATTTGCTGTTACACACAATTTTGGAATTAAAAAGGCTCCCTATACCTACAGCTCCACTGTCTCCAATACTTACTACTTAAACCCTTATGATGTATTTGGTGAGAGGTATGCTCACTTATAGGTAAAAGCACAGTAATGATGTAATATTTCTCAGTAACAGTTTTGAATAGCAAAGGACAATAAGACATAAAGGTGAAGGGAGCTGGTATGTGAAGAGATCACGTGGTAAAAGAGAGGAAGCAAGTGCAGGTGCCAGGTGTAAAAAAGAGTCTTTTTAACAGTCAGCTCTCCGGGAACACACAGAGCCAGGAACTCAATACCCAAAGGACAGCACCAAGTCATTCATGAAGGATCTGCTCCCGTGACCCATATGCCTCTCCACTGCCACATCTCCCACATTAGGAATCAAGTTATAACATGAGATGTCAAGGAGGGGAGGATGCGTGGAGGGAGGGTGATTGGTGGGCTGACACCTATGGTTCATCTTACAAGGGTACATGTGAATCTTTCTAAATGTAGAATATAAATGTCTTAACACAATAACTAAAAAAATGACATGAAAGCTATGTTAACCAGTTGGATGAAAATATTTCAAATTGTATATAAAAACAGCACACTGTACCCCATGATAGTAAAAAAAAAAAAACCCCAAAACAAATATCCAAATTACAGCAGGTAAGAAAAAAATATTTTTGAAATATAGTAACTATTTTCTTATCTCTAACATTGTAACAACCTCATAAACAAAAAAGGAAGGCATTCTCATTTCAAGGTGGTCAAACAAACAAAACTTACTGCTAGCCCTTCAGGAAAGTTCAGGATGTGTGTAATACCAAGCAAATGCCTATCATATCTCATTCAGTCCTTACAATGTCACCAGGAAAAAACTGCTATTGTTATTTAAATATGCAGAAAAAGAGACCAACTCATAAATGTATTAGGTAACTCACCCAAAGTCACCTGAGGGGAAAAAGGGCAAATTAAATTCCAAATTTGACTTTAGAGCCTGAAATATTAATTGCTAGGTAAGACTGCTACGTGGATTTTAAAAAAAGCAAATCAATTTCCCATAAAATTAAAGAATGATAAAGAAGATCAGGATAAGATATGTATTGAAAAAATCTAATTAGTATAACAATAAGAATGACTATTTTTTTCTAAACTTTCTGACAAAAGGTTCATAGATGGACAATTCAAAGTTTTCTAGTCTGTAACTAACTTTTCATTTGGTACAGACATCCGTTCCCTGTTTTCATTTGTAAACGTTTCTTAGTTATTGATTTGACACATTAATTCTATTTTAAACTGTGTTGACCATAGTAATGAACACGTTTTTCAGTTATACCACCCCTCCTTCCTCAATTTCTCAAAAATAAATAAATAAATAAATAAATAAACTTTTCTCCAAAGAGTGAAGATAAACCCAAACCATGTTTCATTTGAACCCTGCCACATTGATCACATTAAGTAAGTTTCTTAAAGCTTCCTCTAAACACAGCAACTCTGGCAAAAAATCTTTATTTTTCAATGTTATACCACAGCTCAAATTTTGTAACTTTCTAAAGAATTCTATGATAATGCACTAATAAGTAAATGATCACTCATCCCAAATTTCATGAAAGCAGTGTTGTAACTGCCCACATGGTAATATACTGACAAAGGAATTTCCTTAGTTTTACAATTATGGTGGATACACAGTGCCCTCTGCTGCATAAACTGAGGAAACTTTGACCAAGCTAAAAATATCTAAAACCAAAGAAAACATGGGCAAAAAAATATTTCTGGGAAATCTATAATTGAGAATTGTATTTTGCATTTCAGCACATTGCCTTTGTATAAATTTTGACATTGTCTACATACAGTGAATAATTTTCTTTCACATACCTAGAGTTCTTAACCAGATCATCTCCTATTTTATCTGTATGTGTATCAGGGTTCCAAAAGACACAGTGAAATGAAATTTGGGTATTTCCTTCTTCTGCTCTATCCCTCATACCAAGAAACTGGATGTGAAAGACACAGTGGAACTCTGATTATAATCCAAAACCGCTTCAATCCACAGCAGAGTCAGAGACAACAGAAGACAAAAGCGTTTTATTTTGCAAAAGGGGAGAAAAGAAAAGTTACTTGGTATATTAAAAAAATGCTCCATCAGCCAGTAAGAGATCAGACAGTTACATAAGAGAATCCAAAGCTCTCAAATTGTAGGCACAATGGACTCAAAATATACAACAGAAGATGATTCATGATAGTTGAGGCAGTTTAAACTAAAAATACTGAAACATATTTTCTATCATGAAGCACATCTTAAATTCACTTTGCAGGGGTGTCCAACCTGCAGACTGAGGTCCGCATACTGATTTTGTGAGGATCACTTTTGCTTTTCTATGGTGTCAGATATATGAAAAGTATGCCCTGACCTTTTTTTTACTAATCAGCTTCCATTAGTATTTGTGTGTTGAATGTGTGGCCCAAGGAAACTCTTCTCTTTCAATGTCTGGTAGAGGAAGAAAAAGGTTGGACACCTCTGGAAACTATACAAAGTCTATTTTTAACTTATATAGAATTAATATAACTTGGAACTGCTTTGAAATAAGACTACCAATAAAGACTATCAGTAAAAGATGGCTTAAGATATAAAAATTCTTAAATTATTAGAACTTGCTAGAAATGGAGGAATGCATTACACTTCTGTCTTGATATACTCAGTCTCTATAGTATTATCTAATTTCTTTCAAATTAAACCTAAAAATTTGGAAATATTCATCCTAGTAAGGAAGATTTAAAATGCTAACTGCATAATATGACTGGATGAAATAATTAGAGAAGTTAAAAAAATGAACTGCTATTGCAATAGGAAATAAAAACCTGCCTCTTATCTAGCACACTTAATGTAAATATGTGTCCTTTAAAAGGCAAATCTGGAGCACCCTCTAGTGGAAAACTGATAACAAGATGCTTAAGGCATCTGTTCCTGAAATTTTATTGTTTCTCTACAATAAGTTACTGAGACCTGGGCCAAAAATAGTACATCAGGTAGACTCCTTTTTCTAAAGCTTACTCTTAAATACCCCCATAAACACATAGAAACACACACAAGACATCATTTATCATAGTCAACAAAAAAGATCTGTTATGATTATCAATTTCCAAAGGAAGAATCAAGTAGAATCTGTAAACATGATATTACAGATATAATAATACTGGTCTCTATATTAGAGAATTTCACATAGGCTATAAAATGATTAAAATCTGGAAACAAATGGAAGCATTTTGGTAGCCTGATTCTTATGGTTAAAAGTAGCAATCAAGCCGGGCGCAGTGGCTCACACCTATAATCCTAGCACTCTGGGATGCTGAGATGGGTGGATGGTCTGAGCTCAGGAGCTGAAGACCAACCTGAGCAAGAATGAGACTCCCCCCCACCACTAAAAATAGAAAA